TGCTCTAGATTCAGAGGCCGGATTGGGGTGGGGGGGATGTCCTCCTTGGGGCCACAAACAAGTTTCAAGGCCAAGCACACCTACAACACCCCTGATCAAAGTTCTAGCCAGACCCTGGCCTGGCAGGGCCCAGATTTCTCCAAGAACAGCTTTTCAGACCCACAGAATATGCCTGGCTCAGCAGAATGCTTAATCCCTCGGAGGCCGCCTGGCTTCCTTGGCCCTGGCTGAGATAACAGGGCTCTGGCACCACGAAAGCCAGGCGCTGAGGCAGGAGTATCGGCGCTGGGGTTGGGGAACACAGCCTCGCGTGACTTCTTTTCCACCATTTACCAATGTGCTCCCAGAATCCCTCACAGAGCTCCCTTGCCCTGGGCCCCCGTGGGGCACCGCGGGCTGTGGTTTGGGCTCCCGCGCTCAGCACTCTGGGCCCGGGCCCAAGGGCTGCCGAAATGTGCGTAACAAGAGCGCCACCTGGTGTCTCCACAGCCTGACAGAGGCTGCCCTGTCCATAGCCCCAATAAACATCTTTGCTTTTTACCCAACTCCCATCCACAGCACGTGGCAGCTGCAATCTACACTGTGTCCCCTAGCCTGAGACTCCATTCTCACCCCAGAGGCCTGGAATCCATAGCCCTTATATCTGCCTGGGCCTAGGACACAACCACCCTTCGGAGGCTATGAGCAGTCGATAGACCATCTATAGCAGCATACAACTCCTCCTTATCTAACCCTTTTACCAAGAATTGTGTCCTCTAAGAAGGTATTATCATCCATATACAAGGCCCTTTGAGTCACACACTTCTTTACTGGTCCATATGTCCAGGCTGGACACACGCCTGTCTCACACCTACTATCCCCAACACCATTTGTGGTCATGACTCTGAAGTAAGCCACTAGACACAGCCAGCTCAAATCCTAGAAGGTATGGCCTCTAAAAGCTAGCATGTGAGGACACAGGTTAAGCATGTGGTAAAGTGGGAGATAGACAATGGCTCAACAGTTAAGAACCCTTGCTACTCTGGCAGAGGTTCTAAGCTTGGTTGGGCATGCATGTTGGGCAGTTCACAATTGTCTGTAACTCCATCTCCAGGGATCTGCCTCACCATCTTCTGGATTCTGTGGGCATTGTATACACACACACACACACACACACACACACAGAGAGAGAGAGAGAGAGAGAGACAGAGAGACAGAGAGACAGAGAGACAGAGAGAGACAGAGAGAGAGGCAGAGAGAGACAGAGAAAAGAAAGAGAAGAGACTTAAAAAATAATGTGGTAAAGCCAAGTGGGGAGGTTAAGACTTAAAGCCAAGTCTCATTCTTATACTTTACAAATGGAGAAACTGAGGTTCAGGGGTATCCTTGTATCCCTTACGGGAATAAGACTTAAAAAGAAGGGGACTGTGTATCCTACTCCACATACACACTCTGAGCACCTGAGGTGTTAAGCCTCCCTTGGCACTGTGGAAAAGTGTGCAAGAGATGTGAGCCTACTCCGAAAACCCCATCATCACATCCAGGTTGCCCAGAAAAGAGCAGGAGGGTGTTGCAGAAGGGAGTGTGCAGAGTTGACCAGAGGTCAGTCCTAATAATAGAAAAGCAATCCTGCTGGGCACAGTGCTTGTGCAAAGGTCCTGAGGCAGTTGGGAGTGAGAGATGGGGAGGGAGGGGAGGTTTGGAGATGGGGGGGGTGTTTCTAAAATGTGTAACACTCTGGGGACCATGAAGGAGAAGCTGGAAATTTTCCCAAACCACCCAAGGAGCGTCTGAGACACTCAGGTTTTTGTTCTATAAAATCTCTTCTTAGCTGTTGTGGGGCAGGGAGGGTCCAGGGAATGAGAAGGGGACAAAAGAGGTAATGAGGTCACTGCCCTCACAGTGGTGGACAAAGAGCCACTTCTGGGAAGCAGAACAGACTGGGGAGGGGCTGCCTTGGGAGTGGGGACCTGCTCACACTGAGGGAAAGGGAGGGGGAGTGGACACAAGATCCCACCCACACCCCTCTTTGCTTTAGGGTTGATGGATCTATGTTCGCAATTCCAAAAGTAGCCACCAGATGGCAAACAGGCCCCAGAAAGAGCCTGGCCTGAGGGAGGTAGCAGAGGCCACCAGGAATTTATGGGCTAAGCCAAAAGTTACTGGGATAGGGTTAACCACCCCAAGTCTGGAGCTACCAGATGAGAAATGGAGTAGGTGTATTCACAGGCCCACATACATATGAACATGCGCTGACACATGGACATATAGTACTATCTACACTTAGGCATGAACACAGCTACACATACAGATACACAATACAATGTATACACACAACAAGTGCACGAGGATACACAAAACCAAGCACAAATCCAAATTCGGACATTACACATGTAAATGTCCACTCACATGCTCATACATGCTCAGATAAAACACACTTGGCTGAAGACACAGCTGTATATAGTAATGTGTCTATTTGAATACATGGGCACATGCAGGTGTGAATACATTCACATAAATGCACAAATAGATATGTACTTGGGAGACTTCCCAGGAGAACGTTCTGACAGCCAGGCCCCTCCCAGCATGGGAGCCATTTTGGCCCATGCTCTCCAGACCAAGTCCCAGATCAAAGACTACAGAAACCTAGTTCTTTGAGAAAGAACCTAGGCCATTCCCCTCAGCAGTAACCAGGTGCTATGTCCTCTCATAACATAGCCAGAGACTTGACATCATCCGTGTGGCAGCCACTTCTGTAGTGGGCAAGGGAACACTTCCGACAGGAACCTGTGGGGTTATCATCACAGGTAAAACTAAGGAACCCAGGGTCCTCTCACCCACCTTGGCTCTATAAAGGGAATACATGGGTCATGTGAAATTCCCCAACCATATCTAAGAGCTCCATCAGACAGATCTTGAGAGATTTTACTCTGAGACTAAGGGGAACAGGAAACTGAGGCTGGTCAGCTAACACATCACAGAGAGATGTCAGCTAAGATTTGGTAGCATCTTGCCAGCCACTTGGAACCAACTAGAGAATAGGCATACTGGCTGGATATTGCTTCTGGAAAAACCTGAGGCCCTGACCCCAACTTGAAGCCCAGGGACCAAAGGTACAGGAACTGGCACCACTGTGAAGTGTGGGGACATCATAGGCTAAGGCCCACATTGAAAAGTCCCAGAAAACTTCAGAAGAGAAGTCGCCCTCTAGTGACCACAACATCCAATAACAGCTTGTGACTGTTACCAGCTGCCTAAACCACCACTGGCTGGCACCACAGCCATGTGGGTATCCCCAACATAGTTAATACTTGGTACTAGGTGTGCCCTGGGTTGGATGCTTTGACTGTCGGGCTGGAAGTGAGGAACAAGAAGTTTGCCAGGAGGCCCAGCAATATGCTACAGAACCCACTGTAGGATACGGGAACCCTCCAATGGCCTGGGGAGAGCTAGGTAGGTACTGCCAGGCAAGCCTCATGATTGATTTGCTCTACAGTGAAGACACACGTCCTATGGAAAGGGGGCTGTTGGGATGAGTGGCCAGGATGGAACGGAGCAGTGCTTGCCTCATGCTTTCCTAGAGATTCCCAAAGCCACTGACAGTACCACACATGAATACTCAAACTTGGGGAAGAAGACACCACATTTAGGCCAGAACCAGAGACCTCTATAACCCAAGAAAAGGATATTTCCTGTGGCTCAGTATCTAGAAGCCATAAAGGAAAGATAAAGTTGACACATGAAAAATGGGTGTGGCTGAGCAGCCATCACTGTGATTCAAGACTTAGCAGGACAAGCTGCCCAGCTGACAGAGGCTGTATATATATAGATAAAACTGAGAAATACCTAAGGGCCACTATACAGAAGGTGAAGGGCAGCTGATTTTTGTCCTTGCTCCCTGTAAAGGTCGGAAATATCCCATCACAGGAGAAAAACACAAATGCACCCAAGCAGAAACACACTAGGCTGCACCTTTCTGGACTTTACCACCTGTCACCATCTTGTCCCCACAGTCCCAGCCATGCTGGCCTCCACCCATCTTCCCAGAAGCATCATAGATCCATCTGGTGCCCCATGTCTGACCCAACAGAGAATGGTGATACACAGGGTGTCTACCCTCATGGCAACTGGCTCCAGGCTCTTGATTGCCCTGCCAGAACAGGGTCTGCCTCAGTTGCAATATCCAGCCCTGGCCCTGTTTCAGGGGCTTATATCTACCAGATCAACAGTACCTAAGGCCCTCAAAGCAGGGGCTTTGTAAGTTCACACACAACAGGGCATCCTGAAGACACCGTTGGCTCTTTACAGAGTTCAGGATCACACAGGACAGTCCCCATGCCCTTCAAAGAGTGTGGAATCCTAAAACACAGTCTCTAAGCCTCTCACAGTACATGAGTCACACAGGACAGTCCCCAAGCTCCTCATAGAGCATAGCTGGACCCTGGTATCTGAAAATTCCATTCCTCAAACGTTCCACATGTTGCTCTATGCTGGGACAGGGCACACAGGTGGGATGTCCCGGGTCTGGCCTGCAGTGAGGGAGACCCGAGCTGTGTACCAAGGTAGTTGTGGTACCCACTAGGACTGCCATGATGGTCCTGCCAGAAATGATACATGAAAGTCTCCTGGGCTGATGTAAAGGCCCACTCCAGTAACTGAGTTAGAATCTGGGCTGGGACACCAACAGGCCCCATGAGTCAGTCAGTAATAGCACACACAAGAATCACTCAGCCCTAGGCACTGTCCCTACCCCTCAGTGCCACTGTACCCATGTCCTCCTGTCCTCTCTCTGGGCCTAGGTCAGAAGCTCCCCATGCAAAGTGGCCCCTTTCTGTTCTTCCTGAGTCTTCGACACATAGTCCAGGGGCCTGGAAGGCTGAATGCAAGGGAATTACCCTGCCTGATATCCCAGTATCAGGGTGGTGGAGACCAGGGGCAGATGATTCTACCCTACCCAGCCCTCTTCCACCTCTTCCACTTGCAGTGATGACATTTACTGATGGTCCTGGGTGCCTACATACCATCCAGAAGAGGGTCCCGGTGGCCAGAGCGGCATACTGCTCAATAGTGGACAGGACACTGAAGATGAGGCAGACCAGAACAATGAGGAAGCTGTGAGACAGGGGACATATGGTCAATGCCTGATCCAGCTTCCCTGCCGCCTCCCTCTCACCCAACACCCCACATGCAAGATCTTTAGTGCTGGCAATCCCAGGTATCCCTCAGATACTGCATTCAAACATGGGATCCATGGGATGGAAACCATGTACCATATGAGGACTGACCCCAGATTGGTGTCTCAATATACACTGTGCCATCTCAAGACTAGCCAGTATACAAGAATGGCACACAGCCTGGTGGCCATAGCCTTGGGGAAGGAGACAATGGGTCAGGGTCCCCTAGGAGGCTCAATAGTCCAGCCTCAGGATATCCAAGAACTTTGGTGTACAACTGAAGCTCAAAAAGTGCTATTTTTAAGAACTGGAAGCCTTCATCCCCAGGAGTGCAGGGGGTAGAGTCCCTCAGTCAATAGGGAGACCCAAGAAAGGAAGGCCAAGCACAGCCTGGCCCTGTGCCCTGAGGACATCCAGAAGGCACAGCTTTTACATTGCTCTGATTCTAAGAGCACTGAGAAGACAAGTTTCCCTCCCACTAAGCTCTCCATCCCTGTGTCACCATCCAAGGTGGCCTTCAAAGTTTCTCCCACTGAGGGGAGCAGGTTATTACATAGGGAGATGTTTTAGGGAACTTCAGACTCTACATACCCTCATGGCATGTTCTTGGGGATCAGAATAGAAGTGGGGAGCTGATGCATTGTCCCAGGGCTACAGGAGGACCAGACAGAGAAGGCATACACCAACATCAGGGCCCGAGCACAGACCACTGCCCTCAACAAGGAGCCCACATACTTCCTACCAATCCCATATCAGGTTTTCCCAGTATGTAAGGCCCAGACCCCCAGCCCCAGCCCCAGCCCCAGCCCCAGCCCCAGCCCCAGCCCCAGCCCCAGCCCCAGCCCCAGCCCCAGCCCCAGCCCCAGCCTCAGCCCCAGCCCCAGCCTCCCAGAGAGCACACAGCAGCAGTAGCCTGACTCAGCCACAGAGTTTCCCACACACAACTCAGGTCTCCCACACCTCTTAAGACTGACTTGATCCATTCCTGGCCTCTACAGCTACCACTAGAGGCCCTGAGGACCAACAGAGGCGAAGGTCCCATTGACTACCCCCATTGCTCCCTCCTACCTGCTCTGCCAGGTCAAAGCCTGCAATCACAGCTTACTACACCTCCCCCATGACAGACACTTTATTTGTCACGTCCATTTGCTTCCCAATGCAGAGCACATCCCGGCCTCCTCCTCTTGCTCCTCCTCACCCCAGCCCAGACGTCAACTCCACCACCTCCAGCTCCCCCATATCATGCCCAGTGTGGTACTCCAGTAGATTTACTCACTGGTATTGAGGATCTGATGTCACCGCCCTGCCTAAAGACAGAGAATCAGGTTCCTACAGAGTAGTCCCATATCATATGCAGAGGTTGTTCCAGTACCCACCCTGCCCCTCCATGATACCTTAATCACAACGCTTATGGCCAAGTATCTCTGCCAAGCTCTAGTGCCTGTAGTCCTGCCCAGTCAGGGAGCATCTTCAGCACAGGTGCCTAACATAGAGCCTGGTGTACAGAGGTCTTGGCACTCCAACACATACATACCTCCATTTCATCCCAAACTCCTACCCTACTCACCACACCTACGGTCATCTCACATCACGGTGAGCAACATTCCCATTTGGCACTGATCCCTGGCCACTACCCATACCGGGGTTCTCACATAGAACACACATCTGATTTGGCCCCAGCAGAACCTCCAGGTGGGCTTCAGCCCTTGCCACAGCCCAGATTGAGGTCTTCTCTACCACCATGCATTCCTCACAGACCTAGGGATCTGGCAGCAGCCAGCCCCTAACCCTGGCACCCAGTGCTGCTATGCGGGATTGTTTCCTCTCCCAGAACAGCAAGACAGGACATGCAGGTCCTCCTTGGTCCCCCAGTAGTGTTCCTCCTGACCAGTGGTAACCACCACATCTGTCTCCTGGACTGTGCCTCCATGGCACTGACCTATGGAAGCTCCTATAAGCTGAACGAGCCACATCAGATCCTCAAGAAGCCATGGCTCTTGTGTGGTCATAGCAAACACTGAGTTAGGTACGAGCTCCGCTGCTGCCCATCCACAGATTAGACATCCATCCAGGCCTACTAGAGAGGTTTGACTTTAGCCATGTATCCCCAACTGCTTTCTGAGACTATTATGGCCTTCTGAGACTCAGTCCCTCACTGACTAGGCTCTCCTCTCTTCACAGAGTGGGGCCTCACTAATCCAGGGTGTGTGCTGTTTTGATTCCCAGCAGGCAGAGAAGTAGGGTTGGGCTCATCTCTAGGTAATAGAGAGTAGATGCCCCACCCTAGACCATCGGTTACACATGAAGCCAGAGAGGAACTAACATGAAGAAACATGGCCTTTTCTGGCTGCCCCTCCACAGTGACATAGACAAGCAGCCCCCATTTCAGATTCCCCACTGGCACATTAGCAGCTTAGGCCTACCCTCTCATGGAACTGTGGGTTGCGGCACAGTGCACACCCCTCAGTGTCTCAGCACCTAGAAGTGAGGGAGTGACTTTACTCTCAAAAAGCCCCCAAACTCCTGGCATCATCACAAATGCAGAGACAAGGTGAAAACCTCCTGCTGCTGCCCTGAGCTCATTAAGGCCCAATGCCAAGAAGTCCCCCCACCCAGGAAACAATGTGGCCAGGTCTTGTCACCTGGCCGTGGTTTGACAGAATTAACATCAGTCCCACAAGAATCTGACAGGTCACAGTGCCACCATGCTAGAACCCAGCTCCTATTTCAGAGGGGACATGGTGGTTCCTGGAGCTCCTGAGGTCACTCAGGTTGAATCACAGAGGTAACAATGATACTCTTAATGGACTTTTGATTCTTTACTCTTAGGGTGACAACTTGGTCTTTCCAGCCCTCCAGAGACTCGGCTCCAAGAGGGAATAGAATAGCTCCAGCACTGAGGACCAGAAAGCTTATGTGCAGCAAGGGAACAAAGATCTTCAAATACAGCTCAGAGGGAGGAATGCCTGTCACAGGCCACTCTACCCATATCTGCAGGGGGACCAGGGCCCCAGCAGGGCAGCAGCTGCAGCCTTCAGGTGGAAAATTCCAACAGCCTGGAAGGACGGTATCAGAACAAGGAGGCTGTGTGGAAGACCCCCTCCTCTCCAGCTACTCCCACATGGCACTAGGGGAGGCCATGGACACACAGACCAATCCTGGGTAGAGGTGCAGAGCAGATAAGTCCCCAATGCAGACAGAAAACTACTTAGTACTCCAGAAGGCTGGCAGGGGCTAGACAATGCACCCACAAAAGACAGCCCATGCTAACCTGCCCAGGAACCTTGAAGTTGGAGACAATGGTGGCAATCTGCCCCCATGCGCTGGTTACCTTTTAGCCTCGAGTATTCCGAAAACTAAACAGTTCTTCAAATATTTGAACACATTGTGTTGCCCGAGAAAGGGTTATACAGCATAGTTTATTTTTTATCTACTCCTGATAAAAATGAGTATTATCTTATTTGCTACTTTATCTGTTCCTGCCCTGGGTGGGGCTGAGAGCCTCAGAGAGGCCGCACCAAGGGTCCCTCTGCCTTTGAGGAGCTCATGGGCCAGATGCCCACACCACCCATTCCTGCCTCCACAAAAGAGCTGCCATACCTCCACTCTACCTCCATAACCCAGAGCCTCAAGGTCAGGCTATCATAAGGTGCTCTCCACACCCCCCAGCAGCAGCAGAGGAAACTGAGGCCCAGGGAAATGCTTGTGTCCCTGGACACAGACTATCATGTTCTTAAGAGGGTTCACTGTGCAGGGTATGAAACAGAAGGTTCTCAGGAACAATACCCTGCTTGTTCCGCTCTCTCCAAATCAAACTCATCAGCCGTGACCGCAGCCCAGCCCTGAGGGACGTCCAAATGCTTTATCGGACATCACTTCAATATCTCTGTGCCCAGGTGCCCTGGGAACCCAGAAGAACACGGCATCCAGCCAGCACCATGTGGCTGCCCAGCAGAAGGCATAGGAGCACAAGGACCAGTGTTAGAAGCACGGACAGGCCAGCTATGGCAATATGGGATATGACTTGGAGATCTCCTCCATACATGCTAGGCCCTTGACCAGTAACTGATCTATAAAAAGCCAGGGCTGGGCCTAGACCCCTGGGCAGCCAGACCTCCTCAGGCACAGGCCTGATGGTGATACCATCCCAGCCCACAGCACCTAATCATCCCCTCGAGGAGGGTAGTGCTCTATACATGCAAATAGAAAAGGGTCTATTCCAGAGAGAGGAACTGTTAGCCTAGCCACCATCAAATTTCCAGCACCCAAAACATGGCACTGAAACATCTCATGAGACCTCAAGCCACTGTATCTGCATATACAGTCATAGTGTGATGTGCCCCGAAACTGCTGCTAGGCTGGGGGTGCCGTCCATCAAAGGTCACATTCATGGGTAGTACTTGAGGACACTTGGTAAGATAAGCCAGGAATGAGAGGACACACATTTCAGGATGTGTCTCATCAGAGGCCCCTGGAATTACCAGATCTGCAGAGAAAGACGGCAGGATGGCATGCCAGGGGCTGGGAACAGTTTCAGTCTAAAAGGACAGAAAGTTCTGGAGGTGGATGGTGAGAACAGCTACACATTCTGTGAGTGAGCTTCACACTGCTGGCATGAGCACACAGACACAATCAGCCCGTGTGTCTCATCACAACTAAAACTGATTTAAGAAAGAAAGCAAGGGGTTGGAGGGATGGCTCCATGGCCAAAAGCACTTGCTGCTCTCCCAGATGGTCAGAGGTTCAGTTCCCAACACCTATGTTTGGTGCCTCCCAACTGCCTTTAACTCCAGCTTTAAGGGCTCTGATGCCCTTGTTGGGCCGCTATGGGTGCACCCATGCATGCGTACACACATGCACATACAAATTAAGAAAGAAAGAAAGCCAAGCAAATGGATTAGATAATAGAACTTGAGCTGGCTAAGCACACTGGCCATG